AGTTTCCTGCTACAAAAACGCAGATACAAAACATTCAAGATACAATTAAAAAGGTTGGAAAATCACAAGCGGACGCTTGCCTGCAATAAGTTCATCCGCCTGGAATAAAGAGTAGTTTACTTACCGTTTTTCACTACTGTTTTGCAATCCTAGATGTGTTTGAGGCGTGTTGAAGTTAAGGATTTTGATCTTTTGTATGAAATGCCCTGTCTTGGCTTTTTATATCAAAATGAAGCCAGAAAAACACTTTCAGAACCAGCTGTTGCTAACGTTAAGGCCAGTTCAACCGTCGAATTTCACATGTGCCGAACTTAACTCCTATTTTTAGTCGAATAAAATAGTTAAATAAGGCATTTGATTCAGACGTCGAATTTAACTCTGATCGCTGTCAATATTCCCAAGTGCACTACTTATTTGCTAGACGAAGACGTCTATTGAGCGTTTGCTTCATTAATGGCTTTACTGATGTTTTTGTTTTGCTGTTTGTTTTTCCTTCGTCATGATACATTGACTTGATTCTCGTTCAATCATTTCCTTGAAACACGACCCACAATATCCCACAGATTTTCCTACTTTCCACGTGTCCTCTTCTATTTCAAAAACCGAACACCTCTTTCAAAAGTAATTAGCGCACGTCAAACAACTATATTTTGTCTTTGCAAAGCACTGAGAACCACAAATTCCTTCGTCTTCCACGTCGCACTTCACATGCATTTAACTCTCGCGTTCGGCACATGTGAAATTCGACGTTTGAACCTGGCCTAACACAGTTAGGTCTACTTTCTAATCAACAGCTGCCATGAATAACACACATCTCGAATGGTATGTTGCTCTTTTTCCACTACTACTACTATTACTACTACTACTACTAATAATAATAATAATAATAATAATAACAAATTAAGTTTTATTCAGAAAAAACGATATCTTATTTTACACACGAGTTTGTGATTGTGAGGGCCCTCGGTTTAATTTCTTGCAGATAACTTCGGAAGGTTATTAAAGGTGAGCTCAGTTCTGCAAATATAAATCTATCGTAATACCTGTTTCAAAGGGAGAAGTCCTGACGATCGATTCTTACTGATCGAGGTTGGAAGTGCTGACACGTACGTTAAAGTTTGTTCCATCTAGATGTTTACAGCTATACTCTTACAGTTTTGATCGTTAAAACGAAGTTGTTGTTGTTTTATTTTTGGTATCACCTTCTGCTAACAAAAAAACCTCCGAAGCCAGGACTTTTACACTTACAATGTAGAGTGTGCCGCGAGAAATGCTCTTTACCTGGCCTCACATAAAAATTTCGGGCCTACTAGCTTTATCTAACGAGTCAATTGATTAGTAAACAACTGCTTCAACCGGGGTTTGGGGGGCAATTTTCAAATCCATGATACGTAATCTGTAATAGAGAGAAATGTAACAACAGGTGTGACACCATTGATGTTTTAGATATATCAAGCTGTGCCTCATTTGTTTAGCCAATTAACGTTAATACTGTAGACATGTAAAATCCAAATGTAAAAATTGTGCTCGCGGCAGGCAAGTTCTCGTTAATGCTACACTGTTTAACGAAAGTGGGCGGGGCAGTGCCGTGTAAATTTGGGCCCATTCCACAGATCGATGGTTTTCATAGTATTCGTTTGAGTATAAAACAGAGGTGGAAGGCTCTTGTTTTCTTGGTCAAGATGTGTATTATGTTTCTATTTTTCTTCAATTGCTATACTTAAATAACATTTCCTTTCATAATATAAGAATTATGTTTTATCCATCTGTAAAGTTAGCGAAAAATGACTGGATTGCATTTCACTTTTTCAAAAAAGGGAACACAACGACAGATTCTTCCACAATACTTTTTTTTATGAAGAAATTCAGTTACCAGGATTCAAATGATTTGTCAAAGTTTCTAGTAGCCGTTTTTTTTTTTGCAAGGCCTTTTCTGTTATAACGCCCTACTGTGGCCAAAAAGGGTAATTCAACGCAAAGATTGGGATATGCAGAATACTGACTTGACCTAAAGCTGTGTCGTAGTGAAAACCAGCTATCATGGACAGAAAATATATTCAGGTCAGTGTCAGTAGATGCACTACTGCGCACCCACCCATCCCCTGACTGATTAACCCTGAGGGGCAGGTGCGCAGGAGCGCAGTTTCTCAGGTACTCACATGCAAGTCAGTATTCTGCATATCACATGTCATCATGTAAATAAGAGTGAGCAACTGAGTGGGCGAGCGTCCGTAGACAAACTGGTCAGCAGCTTGTGCCTAAATCCTGTTAAAACAAGGAGTGAGGGATACGAAGTGGAAAGTGGGAATGGGAAGAAGAATATTGTTCGATCTATTGAGTTCGATTTCGGAGAAGTCTCCACTCAGAGACGCCGCCATAAGTTCGAGATAGCGCTAGACCTCAAATGTATTATCATAGACAAGTGTTCCCCTGGGGGAGGGGGGAGGTCTATAGGCATTTTGGTCGTGTTACGATAAAATGAACCTGATCCCTCCATGAGGCGCTATAACATTCTTAGACCCCGCCTCATTGGCAGTTAACTGGCAATCAATTTTCTTTGCCCCCTCCCCCAACTTTATACTCTGTTGGAGACGAATGATCCTCATTCCGTTTTCTCTGAAATCAAGTGATCCCAATATCCTCCACCCTTCCCCCGCAAGGTGATAAATAAGGGCTGTTCCTATAATTTACCTACGTGAAGTCATTTCAGGTTAGAAATTGACATTGACATTGTTTCCATATTTGTGGGAAAATGCTTCTACAAACTACTAAGCAATTGACACAGATTTTGTTTACAATAATCGAAACCTCATAACAAAGTGTTAGCGGCATTTCATTATGTAAACATTCCAGAAAAATGAAGATACCAGCACCTTAAACGTTTGCTGATTTATTTGTCAAGAAAATACTTGGCAATTATGTTGTACACCAAGCCTTTTATGATGGAATGTTTTCCTGTTTGCTCAATCGAGGATGATATCAGGCTACTCAAACTATTCAGTATCAACTGCTCTCTCGACGAGGGATAAATCTTTTCGTCAAGAAATTATCGTCCTGTGGACGATTGCTTAAATAAGATTAATATCAGACTAACAAGGAATAAAACTCATTTTTATCACTTAATAATATCTGTATTTGAAACACGCTGCATCGATAAAACTTAGCATGTTTACACAAAATCATGAACTGTGGCATCGGTTGATTTAAATAGTAGCGCCTCTTAAAAATACAGAATGGCTAATAAACCGATATTTAAGATAGAGAAGTTGCGACGCGCGAGGCTTCCGCGTTTGGTTCCTGCCACGTGATAACGCGCACGACTAACTAACGTGTGACTGTCGCGCGCGATAAACTAGCGATCCGCGAAGCGACTCGATTGGAGACAGAAGAGTCAGCTCTCGCAAGTCACCTTGCGTAGAATTAAACATCAGAGAACGAAAGGCTCACAGAAAGTCGGTCTTGTAAATTGTTTCTCCCATAAGGATGCATGAAGCATCAGTCTTTAACAGCTACCATCGACTGAAACGAGTTATTATAATGAATAGAACAGGACCGTTGCATGAGTTTACCTGGTGTTATCTAAAGAACACATGGATTTAACTTCTTCGTGCGACAATGAGTATTCTTCTACAGAGGCACTCTCACATGTTTGACGGTTGTTCATTTCTGACAAAATCAGGTAACAGTCCCAGTTGACATGCTACGCACTTAAACTAAACATGGGTCACGGTCTCACAATGGCATGGGACTTCAGACAGATTAGACAGGGTAATAAAAAAAACAGCGAGAGTAACAACTGAAAAAAATTCAAGTACGGATCTTGAAGATTTTACAATGAGAGAACCAAGGGTACGTTTGGGAGGGAGAGAGAAGCTACGCCTCATGTCTAAATCCGTGTTTGACATAAAACCCGCGACCGTGCATAAGGCATACGGTTTAGTCGGGATCCTTATTAATCTCGCTCCCAGACCTCCTTTTCTTCACACCTTTGGAACGAGGTTGAACATATAGGGAATATATAGCTATCAAACTCCCAAAAAATTGACATTTTAAAGCTGCGATATTTCCATTTACAATAGTTTCTTGGAGGTTCCCATCTGCCAATCTTTGTTTGTTTTTCTGTCCTCTTTTGATACGTTTCATCAAGAGAATACAAACAGTTTATAATCTTTTGTTTACAGTTTGTAATCTCTCGGTTCCATTCATGGACAATTCCTTCTGCAAATAAACGTTTTTACTGAAGTGGCAACGTTTTCTCTGCTATCATATTTATTACCATGTTTATCTGCTTCGAAACGTGTCAACAAAAAGCCTTTACAGAGCTCAGTCAACGGCTTTTCGAAAACTCTTTAGGGTGCTTTTATCTCGTAATATTTGCTTAGCACATTGGAAAAACAAAGACGGACTGTTTTCGTCGTCTAGACACTTATTTTTCTGTCGTTAGAAAAAGAAAACAAAAAAAAAAACTCTTTCTTGGGCTGGAAAGGCCAATAAATAGGACTAGAACTTTAAATTTTCCTTGCCTAACAATTAATCTTATTTACCACGTAATGTAGGGGTTGAATTCAGACAGTCATTCATGGAATTTTAAAAACACGCTTCCTTCAATCACCTATGGTCGATCGTATTTTGATTTCCTAACAAAAACAAGCTCTACGAGACAGGCTGTTGGATTTCATCCATATTTATCATAATTTTGTTAACGCTTGGCTGCTATTTTTTCAATCATTATCAGTCTGTTTTTTCCGAAATAAAGAAAACAAAAACAATCATCCTTTCAACTGAATAAGAGTATTGTTTTTGCACATTTCTCATAACAATAAGGCAGTCAAGGTGTGTTTCTCAATTTCACCGCTGCCCTGATTGAAATTTGAATGATTCAAAATGTTTGAGACTGTCCCAATGTTGTTTTAATGATGAGAAATTCGTTTAAGATATTTTCTCTTATTACGATAAGCAAGGTCTGATAACTTTTATTGTGAAGTAATTGTTTTATGCAGCCTTCACCATGGATAAATCAGTTTCTTTTCTTAACGTTCGTATTTCTCAAGAAGAGGAGATCGGAGTGCGGCGGTAAAGCGAATGCTTCAGTCCACTGGCCGTTTTCACAACAGAACATTTGAATAAACTGGAATTTTATGCCAAACTGGAAGGAGAGCCTTGCCTCGCTGATGCGTAAAGGAACAGTCAGTGGATTAACGCCGCGAATTCTTATAATTCAGATTAGTGAAAACAAAATATGCTGATTTGTTGGGCCGGAAAGATATAATTAAACGCTTTATTGAATATAAGTTATGGAAACCTTACTCTTCTTTTGATACCTTATCATTCCCTATTCTAAGTGTTAAAGCAATTTCTATAGGCGGGCGACAATAGCTATATTTAAAAATAAATTAATCAAAGATTTAGAAAAACACTCGTGTTCTGTTTGTTAAACAAAAGAACACGAGTCAATGGCGTTCTGCTTCACCAAATTTTATCTCGGAAAAAATGATACCTGAATCTTCGATTATTTACCTATTTATTTCAGTCATTTTCTTCTGCTTCGCAAAGCTTCCTTCATCGCTAAGGATATCACGGAATACTTGTGCGGGAACAAAAAATTGGACAAGCGAAGCAATTAGAAGCCGAGAAAAATTGAATAATGTAAAAGATTGAAACCACTTTCAAATGAAGGAGTTGAAAAGTCAGCCCTACTTTTTATAAGATCCATAATTGTAACGAAACTATCAGAAGTTTAAACCCGTTCTCGTTGTCAACCACGTTAATTGCTTTAAAAGAACTTTATCGCGACTGTTTGCAAACAAGCGCTTTGGGCTATTTACACCGCGTGAAATAGACACCTGAACAGAGCAGTGTCTTACAAAGAGAGAGACCTGTTTGGCGCTACCCCGGAGTCATGCAACAATTAGCAACAGAGTGAGCAGATAACGGCAAAATGACCGGCAAAACGTCGCCGAGATGACAATTTCGTTACTGCCCCCCCCACCGAGGCAAGTGAGCTGTAACGAACCTCATTGTTCGATTGTTGTTCCTCCGTGGGAATCAAACTTGTACTACAGCCAAAACATTTTACGCAAAAGACAGCAGGTCGCAAATTAGACAATTTCTTCGTCGTCACCCACTGAGCTAAAGTGGCCGGTCTACGTGCCGAATTGTTCTCCGCCCGTGAGATAAGTCACTTGTTGCCCACCAACTGAGTCAGCTAAGTTGCTTTGCGGATTTCCGACAATATGGTCTGATACATGGGGGGCCCCACGTTTTAAAATTAAGCACGCTTCTAAAATTTACATTTCCTCGAGAAAACATAGAATAAGTAGAGCCCTTTAAATATTGAACAAATACATACTTTCGTCTAAATAAAGTTCAAACAAGTAAGTTTCATCGAACGAATGCGATACGCCCTAATCGAACTCAAACTAGGTTCAAATGTTTATTATTCCTAATATTTCTTTTGGTGAGTACACTGTGATCAATTGCTGAACTGAAAGCAAGGTGAACCACCTTTAATCACGCAAAATTAACAACAGCTACAAATTTGTGTTGTATAACTACATAACTACATTATAACCACACTTTCAAATTGCTATATCTTTGTCCCTTCACCCTTTCTAAAACACACGTATCACCATACCACACAGCCATGCGAGTGATGTTAAAAAACGTTTAATTAAAAAAAAAACAGGGACTATAAATAATAACAAAAATAAATAACATCGCTTGAAAATATAACCAAACATACGCATATTTCTCTTAGAAGGAGATGAAATCCAACCTTGGATACAACTTTACTAGGGTTTAACCCTTAAACTGGCATGAGTGACCAAGACAGATTTTCTCCTTAAAGTACCAAGCAGGCAAGCCATGAGAATAAAGGAAAATATAAACGAGGGGATTTTCAGTTGATCCAATACGAATTCCCCAAACTTGCATCATAAGAATTGTGTAGCAGACAGTAGTGAGAATTACTATGAAGATCTTGAGAGCGAAAGGTTACAAGTGACTTTTTCCCTAGGCACCGACTCATGATGTGATAGGCGGCTATGCTCGAACAGGAACCGTAAGTCGAAATCCAGACACGAGAAAGAACCTGCGAACGGCGGTAAGAACTTCTATACGCGGCGGTCCAATCAATCCAAGCGATAGCAGTATTTGAACATCACGATACCTATTGATTAAACGCATTCATAACGATATTGCACCACGGTTGATCTTCTTCCACGCGCGAAAATAACGCACACTGTCCATTTTCACAGGCATAACGCGTCGTGCATGGTCGTATTTTTGCTAAAAATCGGGAAGCCGATAACCAATCACGTTCACGTATCTTGTAGTAATTTTCATTAGTTCGAAAAGTGCTCCGAACAATTCAGCTTAGAAGAAATGAGTTTAGTTACAGGAGTATCCAAACGAGACCACTGACAGGACACGTATGTAGGTTAGTGCGTAAGGATGTTTAAGTTTCTTAGTTCTTTGCTATGTCGTAAAAAAATGACTTCCAAAAAGTATGACAGTTAGTTTAACCGGGTATACCATTGACCAGGAACACTTTGGAGGATGAACCAGCGCCCCGACTGCTCAATGAGTACATCTAAAATGAAAGAAAGACACGAGGATGTTCAGCAAAAGAGCAGAAGCTTTACGTATCTTTTAGGAGACAATAAATGGTAATTATTTGAAGGATAAGTTTCTAAATTCAAGTCGCTGACTTCCTATTCCTATGAGAGAGTGGTAACAGATAACTGGACACATTTATAAAATAACCCATTCAATCGATGGAGCCTACAGTATTTTTTTTTACCCTTAAGGAGATAACTACCGTTTCGTCGTGTTCTCACGTTTATCCCTCGCACCCTCGACCAACGGAGAGTGTTTCACACCTTTTGTTTGCCATTACGACATGCTTCCTCATGAAAACAAAAATGCCTCTTGTAATCAAGACTGCCTGCAGTGAGTACCAACCGAAAGAACAAGAAAGTTTGAATCGACCTTCAAAAAAAAAACTACGATAAAACGCCCTTCAACCTTGGATTCCTCGGGATATAAAAGAAACCCCTCGGGTTATAAATAAAACCCCACGGAATACAAATGAAACCCCGGATTAAATGGGTCGGGTTGTTAAACACCCTATTGACACTGATCCTCATTTAAACTCGTTTAAACCCATATAAACTATGTAAATCTCTGGATTGACACTGCTGAAGATTGCGCTTAAAAGCATTAGGCCCAACATTGCATGATTTCTAAGCTGTCAAGGTTTGTCTTCATTAAAAAGCCATGTTTCTTTATTCTTACCTTGCGCCCTTTAGTTTCAATGCCACGCAAGAAAATGGGATGTCTGTATAACGCATGCGCGTACATGGCCTCCCTGAACTCTTGAGCTAGGGCAGTCTGTGCCCATTCGGCTCTCTTGTAAGATTCATTTTTCTACCACAAAAAGGGGAAATAAGTCAGAAGTATCAAGAAGCTAACTCCACACTAATTCGTCCAGTTCCTCACGTGGAATCCACATCAACCCTACCCGCCCTTACAGGTTCTAGTTCCTGGAAACTGATTTCTCTATCTTACCACGCAGAAATATTTTGACTTCTCTTCGAATTGAAGGATATTTGGCAGAGCACAAAAAGAAAAAGACTTGTTTGTCATGTGAAATAAATCGCATTTACAAGAAAATCTCAAATTATCTTTATCATCTTACCAGATCAGCTAGAGGGTACCGTTTTCTTATTGGCTCATCCAGGTCCAGGTACTTAAGCTCTATGTTGACTTGTCCCAGTGAATTGTTGCTGCCAACAGCTTCCTTGTCAAAAATGTGAAACAACACAGCCCTACCGACAAACACGGGAAATCCAAGAGTTGAAACCGTTGAAAGTTGCACTTACGTTTCCACCATCATAACGTTTGCGGCAAAAACTAACTTTAGACTTAAGAACTGGGTCGTTCAAAGTAAAATTGCAAAGATTTTATCCAGTGTCTATATACTTCATCACGAAGGCCCACAAACCAAAAATCTGTCCCAAGGAACGCAAAAACTAACTAATAACTTCCGGCTGCAAAGAGCGTTTAAGAACGAATTTCCAATCGTTCCGACGAGGTCACTTGGAAAATTTTTTCATTGGGTATTGAGCCTTTAGCTACAATTATTAATATAATTATATTTTCCTTTCCTATTGGAGAGAAATTGAATACTACAGAGAATAATATATTAGATATACATTTCTTTACCTTGACGAAAACTCTTCCGGCGGAACAGTGAATTCAAACGTTTCTTCGAATTCTGGACACAACGTACCACTCACAACCTGAAGAAACAGCACAATAGTTTTGAGCTTGAGGAATTTAACGCAAGAGACACGGAAAGAGAGAGTGGTGGAAAACAATGAGACTTTTTTTTTCAGCCTAAGGAGCAGACAATTTATTATGCTCAATTTTTAGAGCCAATGAAGTATTTGATCGCTTTTATTCGTTAGCAATATTTCAATCGTAAAAAGGAGGCATACACAGGGGGCCTATTTTATTCAAAAGGTTAAAAGGGGCGTAACTGATTGATGATACCAACTTTTGGTTTCTTTTAAGCTTTTGATGAGCAGTTGGTTTGTGTTAGTGAATACCTTTTAGAGTCTTTAGAGGGTTGTCTAAGACTGCTTTCTCTGTAGTATGTGAATTTTTGTCTGCAGATCACATCAATATATTAATGGAAAGTGTTGACTACATTAATTAAATAAGTATGACATTGAAATGGATCAAAGCCACACAATCTTTGCACAGAGGATGTAGTGCTTGTTGGAGGCTCAACAGCATGTTCAAAAGTATGACAGCAATCTAGCAGCTCTCTTCTAACTGGCCAGGATACTGTAAAAAGATAGTCAAGCAGAGTAGATACCACACAAATTATTCAAAAAAATTCCCAATAGCTGGTAGGCTAGCCAGTTGCCTCTTTAAAGAGAGAAGAGGAAATTAAACTTAAGACCTCCAAGATACAAATCTAACCGTGGAGGACATGAAAACCTAGGTCTAAAGATTACAAGACCTCAATAACAGATTAGCAATTTTCCTATTTCTTATGGTGTCAGCTGGAAAATTTGGTATTGGATGAAATAATAATCCCCTAATTGATTATTGCTTAACTCTAGTCACTTGTCTGTTTGATATTGTTAGAGGACTGATCCTGTGGGGAGAAATTCTGTCTTGACCACTCATAGAAGTAAAATGCTAACCCTTTAACTCCCAGAAGTGATTAACATGTAACGTCTCCCTTCGATATCCATACACTATCCACCAAACAGGTCATGAGAATACTCAGACGTATCAGGAAGAAGTTTTCATGTTGATCTAACACCAAACTCTCCTAACTAATTTACAAGGAAATGTGTAGCAGCTGGGGGGAAGAATTAAAGATCAGATCTTGGGAGAAGCACTTGGCCATGCTGTAACCACATCCTGTCAGTCTACAAGCCAAACACACCTTAGTTTCATATTGAAAACTGGTTCCAGAAATTGCACACTTGACAAAGGCATCAGACGTGTTCCTCAGTGTGTTTCCAGCCTTGACGTTGAATGCTTTGTGGATGGTTACTATCAAAGTTTCAGGTTCTTCATATTCAAGACTTATTTCTAATTCTCCTTTGATGCTGAAATCAGTCTGAAAAGGAAGGATAAAAAATATAAACTTACGTGTCTTGTCAAGATATCATTGTCTTTTTTTGCTCCATTGACATGTAGATTCCAAATAATTTATACACCTTTAGAATCAAAAATGGGATGTATTCTGAACTCAGAGTCTTAGACTTTCTGATCAAAAAACAGTGGGTAGGAACAAACCTTTGGTGTGTTGGTGGGAAAAATAAAATAACCCAAACATCCAAAAAATGGTGTAGTTGTCAGTCTTAGAGTTTTTCATAATAATTTGGATATATCAACAAAGTTGAAATGGTAAATTAGCCACCGTAATGATTACAAAAGCTGACGTTTCGAGTGTTAGCCCTTCGTCGGAGCGAAGGGCTAACGCTCGAACGAAGGGCTAACGCTCAAAACGTCAGCTTTTGTAATCATTACGGTGGCTAATTTACCATTTCAACTTTGTTGATATATCCAAATGATTTCATTACTCCCACCGACGCAGCCCCAAACAGTTTCTTTCGAAACTATCAGCCTTTAGAGTTTTTCAGCAAAGAAAGGGTTTGATTGCATCTGATGACAAAATCTTTGCTCATAATGTACATAATGGAGCTTCATGAGGGGGATACCTATTTATTATATAGATACTGATGAAATACCAGGATTTCTCCTTTTACTAAAAAATCATATCTTCACCGTTCGCAGTGAAGATACTATTTTTATCTTTCACATGTGAGGATATTGGTGTGGCCATGGTTACCAACATAATTACCCAATTGCTGTTTCAAAATTGAATAAAAAAAGTTGTCTTTTATGTGGAAATTTCATCAGTATCTATATAATAAACAGAACATTACATGGCCGCTTGGGGATATGAATTTTATCTTCTCGTGCTGAAAGTATCTCTCACGAGTGAGTGCAGCGAACTCGTGAGAGATACTTTCAGCACTCGAAGATAAAATTCATATCCCCGCACGGCCATGTAATATCCTCTATTTCATTTCTATTTCCCTTTTAACTTGAGTTCAGTTCTTGTAGCTGTAGTTACACTGGTCCTAGAATCTGTAATTATTTACTAAAACCTCACTGATTACATCTATATTGCTGCCTTAACAAGATGCTAGGGAGCTAAAATAGAAAATATGGGGTTGAATTGGATGTCAATGCTACGAAGGATCCACCAGTAAAATATTTGTAGCATTGCTGTTCTTACATGCACAAACTAACTTGAAAATGCAAGATAACATTTAGATGAAATTCTTTGCCAAAAACTGTTCTCTACCTCTAGTTTTCCAAGAAAGGATAGAAACCTTTTGCAAAATAATATTCTTTGTTTTCCTTCTCCCAGAAACTTGGGCGAGGTTTAAAAACAGTTAATATTGATTTCCTTCCTCAAAAAATTGGATCAATTAATTTTCACTTTGAGTACATAAGTGGCAACTACAAAAACCCTGCTTTTTGTTGCATTAAGCAACAAGGAAAATTACTTCTTACTCTGGGAGGTTAATCACCAGCTAATGCTCAATCCTTTGCAAAGTAATCTGTTGCATTTTCCTGGCATTTTGGTTCACTTAATACTACTGGGCTGTGTTTTTCAAAGCTGGGTTAAGATAACCCTGGGGTAGTGTGAAATCTGATCGCAGATATGAAAGCTTTGAAATAAAATTCAGTGGTCAGAATTCTTTTTGTTGACAATCTGATGATTGCATGCTCTAAAATTTAACTGTGTGTTAAAATTTAGCCCTAGGTTAGTCCTAATTGGCCTTTGAAGAACTGGACCCTAAATAGGAAGAGGAACATTTAAAGGAATGTCCCCTTAAGAAAATGATATAATCAGATCACCATTTATGGCTCAAATCCAGACCTCTCGCTGCAAAATACACAGCATGTGGCCACCAAGTTTGTCATGTTTCTCTTAAAGGTCAAGACACATTAAGTCCATATTCAATCATTGAAAATTTCTGACATTATGAGATGCACTTAATAAGCAGTTATTGGATGAGGTTGAGCATGATATAATAAATTATCAAAGCTGGGGTTTGAGTTATCTGCTAAAGCCATAGGCCGAGGCATATAACAGACTTAAGGTTTGATAATTCCTGAAATCATGCAAGAATGGAATCCGATAACTGTTTTATCATATATTCTGCCAGAGAAAACACTTCTCTCTAAGTTTGCAGAATTTTGAGAACACTGGATGGACAAGGGGGCTTGGTAACAAGGCAGACTTTGAAATTGACATGACAGTCCAATACCTGTTGCAGAATGATAGCCCAATACCTGTTGCAGACATTGGGTTATCAGGTCAACATCACATGCTATTAATTATAGATTGAATGTATGCTCTCAACCAATCAGGGTTCCCATAGCAAGTCTAATCAATAATAACAGTAAGTGTGTACCGCAAGCTGAAGCATAAACCAATCCGTGTAAGTCCCAGTGCCAAGACTGATTGTGGATAAGTCCACTACACCTTCCCCATTGAAGTCATCTTCACCAAAAAAGTCATGGTCCCAGACTGCTACTCTTAGCTTTGTGTCTGCTATGCATGATTGATCCAATTGGAAAGAAAATATTTCGTTGAAAACTGGATTGAGTGTCTTGGACTTGTACCCTGTCTTTTTCTGTCCTTCCTCGTTCCTTAAAAGAATAGAGCTGAAGGGATTAGACAGAAGTATGACATTTGCATAAATAAAATTAGAAATGGTTTCATGTGTAATTGTCCTCAACTTGAATGAATTTGTTTGGTGAGCTTGTTTAACCTCTACTGATTTGCAAGGGAACTCTGTAAATTTTAATGAGAGTGTAAGAGCTAACCTTTTTGATGTGATGCAAAAAGAAGAAAAAAACTGTATTTGTCATTGGTAGACTACGTCAATAGTTAAATTTTATAAAATAACACACTTACATATCTGGGACAAGATCTAACACAGCATATGGGTCTGAGTTTCCATTGAGATCTCGGGGAACAAGGTCTCTAGCTCGAATGACTTTAACTAGTAAGAGCTGTTGTTTGTGATTGTACTTGAGAGACAGTTGTATATCTCCTTTAATATCTCCACTATCAGGTTGTGTCACAGTTGGGTCCATGCGCTTGTAGAGTTCTTTGATAATATCTGTTCCGTCAAGCTAACAAAGAGTCTTAAATGAGCAAGTTTATGTACAATACATATATCTTATTAAACAAGCGCGAGGGCTGTACTGGGAGAATATTGGCCCGAGGTCCGTACAAAAAAGACCGAGGGCCGATGTTCTTCCAGTACGGTCCCGAGCAAGCTTGGTTAATAAGAGATTTATTATATGACTGAGGTTCAAAGGGACACAGGTGCGGTATCATTCGGGACCATTCGCAACAGTGCCCAGTCCAATACTGAGAGAATATTGACCGGCAATAGTGCATTTTGATTGGTTGATTTTAGTTATTGGCCCTCTGACTGCCCGAGTAGTATAATAAATTTTAATACTGACAACAGTTCAAAAGTTTTACGCCTGTTTCCAGAGTCTTTCTTGTAGTGCTTAAAAGTCAATCGTGTTAGCCTCTGAGTGACAGGAAAAAAGAGAAACTACATCCTTTTAATAAAGATGAGACAGCAAGTGAGGCTGTGATTACAACTGAGTGGTTTCGACTTTACAGAAGGGAAAGTTTTGTAGACTTTTGTTGAGGCCAAGGGATAGAGAAAACTAACAGCAGCTCCTCTCGGTAGAGAACTTCACAGGCGAGTTAAAGTTACCAATTATCTAATATTCAGTCCGTATGGAATAAACCTTTGGAAATTTTTCTCAAAAGTGGAGCTCTGTTGTTTGTAAGTCGTACCTTTGAAGGATTTTTTTCTTATCCAAACATAGATTAAGTGGCTAAGAAATCATTACGGAATTTTGCCCTGCAAGTTGTATCGAACACCTTGCAAATGGGTAATGCATGCTTTCGACTCCAGATACCTGTTTCTGGAAACACGCTGTGTTCTTCTCTTTACTTTTGATCTTCAAAAACTTGTTTTTAGCTTCCACTAATTTCGTCATTCCAGTCATGTCGTTTGTAGGAAGGTTCGCATTTGCGGCCGTACGCGGTCTAACATCTTCAACAGCCGTATTGTCTTCATCGGCTGCAGTCCACTGCTGCCTTGATGTACTTGCTCCCGTCCCCATTATTGGTCACCGATCCTGTTCACTTCTTGTTCACGCTATAGGATATTTTTCCTTCAGACATGCATTGTTTACTTCACTACTGTGGAAGCCATGTTTCAGAAATACTCTGATTTCATGACGTAGTCATGACGTAACGGTCATAAATTTGGGAGGGGGTTAAATAGTCTCCTTCGCAGCCGCTCGGGCCGGAGTCACGCAACGCTCCCCGTCCCCACGCGTGGGGACGGGGAGCGTTGCGTGACTCCGGCCCGAGCGGCTGCGAAGGAGACTATTTAACCCCCTCCCAAATTTATGACCGTTACGTCATGACTACGTCATGAAATCAGAGTATTTCTGAAACATGGCTTCCACAGTAGTGAAGTAAACAATGCATGTCTGAAGGAAAAATATCCTATAGCGTGAACAAGAAGTGAACAGGATCGGTGACCAATAATGGGGACGGGAGCAAGTACATCAAGGCAGCAGTGGACTGCAGCCGATGAAGACAATACGGCTGTTGAAGATGTTAGACCGCGTACGGCCGCAAATGCGAACCTTCCTACAAACGACATGACTGGAATGACGAAATTAGTGGAAGCTAAAAACAAGTTTTTGAAGATCAAAAGTAAAGAGAAGAACACAGCGTGTTTCCAGAAACAGGTATCTGGAGTCGAAAGCATGCATTACCCATTTGCAAGGTGTTCGATACAACTTGCAGGGCAAAATTCCGTAATGATTTCTTAGCCACTTAATCTATGTTTGGATAAGAAAAAAATCCTTCAAAGGTACGACTTACAAACAACAGAGCTCCACTTTTGAGAAAAATTTCCAAAGGTTTATTCCATACGGACTGAATATTAGATAATTGGTAACTTTAACTCGCCTGTGAAGTTCTCTACCGAGAGGAGCTGCTGTTAGTTTTCTCTATCCCTTGGCCTCAACAAAAGTCTACAAAACTTTCCCTTCTGTAAAGTCGAAACCACTCAGTTGTAATCACAGCCTCACTTGCTGTCTCATCTTTATTAAAAGGATGTAGTTTCTCTTTTTTCCTGTCACTCAGAGGCTAACACGATTGACTTTTAAGCACTACAAGAAAGACTCTGGAAACAGGCGTAAAACTTTTGAACTGTTGTCAGTATTAAAATTTATTATACTACTCGGGCAGTCAGAGGGCCAATAACTAAAATCAACCAATCAAAATGCACTATTGCCGGTCAATATTCTCTCAGTATTGGACTGGGCACTGTTGCGAATGGTCCCGAATGATACCGCACCTGTGTCCCTTTGAACCTCAGTCATATAATAAATCTCTTATTAACCAAGCTTGCTCGGGACCGTACTGGAAGAACATCGGCCCTCGGTCTTTTTTGTACGGACCTCGGGCCAATATTCTCCCAGTACAGCCCTCGCGCTTGTTTAATAAGATATATGTATTGTACATAAACTTGCTCATTTAAGACTCTTTGTTAGCTTGACGGAACAGATATTATCAAAGAACTCTACAAGCGCATGGACCCAACTGTGACACAACCTGATAGTGGAGATATTAAAGGAGATATACAACTGTCTCTCAAGTACAATCACAAACAACAGCTCTTACTAGTTAAAGTCATTCGAGCTAGAGACCTTGTTCCCCGAGATCTCAATGGAAAATCAGACCCATATGCTGTGTTAGATCTTGTCCCAGATATGTAAGTGTGTTATTTTATAAAATTTAACTATTGACGTAGTCTACCAATGACAAATACAGTTTTTTTCTTCTTTTTGCATCACATCAAAAAGGTTAGCTCTTACACTCTCATTAAAATTTACAGAGTTCCCTTGCAAATCAGTAGAGGTTAAACAAGCTCACCAAACAAATTCATTCAAGTTGAGGACAATTACACATGAAACCATTTCTAATTTTATTTATGCAAATGTCATACTTCTGTCTAATCCCTTCAGCTCTATTCTTTTAAGGAACGAGGAAGGACAGAAAAAGACAGGGTACAAGTCCAAGACACTCAATCCAGTTTTCAACGAAATATTTTCTTTCCAATTGGATCAATCATGCATAGCAGACACAAAGCTAAGAGTAGCAGTCTGGGACCATGACTTTTTTGGTGAAGATGACTTCAATGGGGAAGGTGTAGTGGACTTATCCACAATCAGTCTTGGCACTGGGACTTACACGGATTGGTTTATGCTTCAGCTTGCGGTACACACTTACTGTTATTATTGATTAGACTTGCTATGGGAACCCTGATTGGTTGAGAGCATACATTCAATCTATAATTAATAGCATGTGATGTTGACCTGATAACCCAATGTCTGCAACAGGTATTGGGCTATCATTCTGCAACAGGTATTGGACTGTCATGTCAATTTCAAAGTCTGCCTTGTTACCAAGCCCCCTTGTCCATCCAGTGTTCTCAAAATTCTGCAAACTTAGAGAGAAGTGTTTTCTCTGGCAGAATATATGATAAAACAGTTATCGGATTCCATTCTTGCATGATTTCAGGAATTATCAAACCTTAAGTCTGTTATATGCCTCGGCCTATGGCTTTAGCAGATAACTCAAACCCCAGCTTTGATAATTTATTATATCATGCTCAACCTCATCCAATAACTGCTTATTAAGTGCATCTCATAATGTCAGAAATTTTCAATGATTGAATATGGACTTAATGTGTCTTGACCTTTAAGAGAAACATGACAAACTTGGTGGCCACATGCTGTGTATTTTGCAGCGAGAGGTCTGGATTTGAGCCATAAATGGTGATCTGATTATATCATTTTCTTAAGGGGACATTCCTTTAAATGTTCCTCTTCCTATTT